CCCTCTTTTCCTCCATCTACTTGGAGCACACCTGAGAGTCTGTCCAGGGTTACGGGGAAAGCAGGGAGTGGAAGATGCTTGTGTGCACGTAACTTTTGCCCCAGCGCAGCCCTGGGACCCGATCAGGGCTCACCCCTGTGCCCGAGAACAAGTAAATGCTCCTAAATGCATTAGCCTAACTGCAACTAGGGACATAATTGGGATTATTCATGTTACACCAGCTGGGAGGATTGGAGCTCTGCTGCATGCGAGATCATATACAGAAAGCCAACGCAAAGCTCCCACTGGTTTTGGAAAAGCCTGGATATAAGATGATACCTTACTACTGAGAGCTGGAATGAGAGAGATATAGAGAAACCATTAGATATCCAGGAGCACCAGAGTACCTTGCAGCTTCAGAGTATCGCTCCAAGCACCTGAAGACAACAGCTTGGCGCAGGTGATTTCGGAAATAAGCTGGGTTCAGAATAATGCTCCTTTAAAAGATGAGACAGATGGACAAGTTTAGATTTCTATTTCTTAAATCATTAACAGCTACTAATAATCAACTGCGACTTACAATAAAAACTGTGACTAAGACATATATTATATGCACTTATTCTATACAACTCAACACTGTCTCAAATGTAATAAGAGGTATCACTCTCGACAGCTGTGATACATGAACAAGAATTATCAAAATTTTTATTGAGGTTATATAATAAGTGCAGTTTCATTACTGTTTTGTGTGTTGTTCTTGGGGTCATATTCTACATTGCCTTTAGCTTGCAGATAACATAAGCAAAAATGCTACAGTGCAACTTCTTGTTAACTCCTAGCTCCACAACCATGAGTGGCAGTTGTCTGACACATCTACCTGGAAAAACTGTGCATCTAGAATGTATTTTAATGCTAACTTGGAAAATTTTGAAATATTTTCTGTACAAGTGATAGGTTCTATGTGCGTGGACCTTGACATGTTTCTCGGACCCTTAACTTTAACAGATGCAATTCTAGGTGTAACAAACTATAGTCTTTAAGTCAGTATCAGGCAAAGATTGAAGGGTAAAAATAACATAAGCTGAGCAGTTAGATTGGGTAGCCTTCTGATGTGAGCAGAAGGAGGGCAAGAGTGACAGCTCCTTCTACATCTAGTTAGTTCCACTTGTGAGATCTCCAAGTGACTGGGGCTTCTGGTCGACGCTTCTCCCCGTGTTTGGAGAAAAGGTACACATAGCATATTCTAGGATGCAAAGTTTAATACTTATCATTACCTACATGTTTCATAAAGTATATAAGGGTAGCTTATGAAATCAAAAAAGAGCTTAACACTACATTCTTTTACAAGGAAACTTGCTAACTAGCTTTTGTTTTCCCATTGAAATTTTGAATATCATGTTAGCATTAAAAACTACTGCACTTGTGACTTCAGTCTAATAACCACAGAACTAATCCTCTTCATAATGAAATTGTTTATTAAAATTTATTCATCACCTTGAAACTATGACATAAATATATATGTAAACACATTCAGCTAAAAATTCGCATCTATGGAAACACCCAGTGCATTTTAGAATACCAACAACTGTCTTTTCTGTATGTATTCAGCACTCATGGACTGTATGTCTGTGGTCTTCAGAAGGAGCTTTCAAAATAAATTAAAACTTAAGGTATCTCCAAGACACAGTAGACTTGTGAATCAAATTAACTTGGCAGGCACTTTCTCCAAGGCATACAGAAGGAGGCCTGAAGCTCTGAATGGTTGCATCTACATTTGCAAGTAATTAGATATATAAGGAGTGGATCAGTAGATCGGAGAAGCTAATGTTGAGGCACTTGCATCTATATTGTAGACAGCTGGGGCTTTTATTTCAGACTAGATTTAGTCTGCCCCCTTAACCAAAATGTCCCCATGCTTGTTGCTCAAAGCTCTTGAAGGTCAGCCGTTGGTTTGGGTTCCCGTGCCTTCATTAGGTCCTACTTTTATTTTGTGCACAGCTCATGCAGAACATGCAGGTAGTTTTTGCTGAAATTAACCTAGTTTGTGGGTGCCAAAATTGGTCTGTGAGTGATAGAGCACGCAGAAAATAGAGAAAATTGGGTAAAGTGGAGCACAAGCCTACTATTGCACCCAACCGCTAAAGTAGATGTAACCAGTGACATTTTGGTTGTGGCACAGTAAAGCTTTACTCTGTATGAGCAGAGCTGCTCTGTGCTCTGGAGAGGCAGGTCTGCTGAAGACCATGCTAATGTGATAAAGGAACTAAGAAGCACCTCAGAACTGTGCTTTCCCAGTCCAACATCTGAAAAAATGCTCAGAAAACTGTATTGAGAGAAAGTTCCATGCAGGAACTGCCTTGCTGGGAAGAAGGTGTGGGGAGAAGCCCGGTGAGAAATGAAATTGTGTAACTTAAGGCGTTACTGAAAGAAGTGCAGACCTTAGTGACTGGGGGCACATCTAAATGCTGAACTAAAATACAACATAGGAAACAGCATGGGATGTTAAAAATTAATTGCTCTTAAGGAGGGGAACGGATCACTCTTATCAGTAATGAAAAGATAGTGCCAACAGCAAACGCTGCAGTTCTCAGCCAAACGTGGGTTAGATCTGAAGTTTAGATAATACTGATGGTCACCAAAACTTAATTTAACTACAAGAAAATCACCAAAACATCAAATACTATCGACACTTAATGATTTGGCCAAAACAGTAATATGTTACATAGATGACAACTGGTACTTCTGCAAGCTATTTTAAAGGAGATTATTGCTGTTGTAAACTGTAGTCAACAGTTGATAATAGTAATATTGATTTTTTTTTTTTTTCCCCTCTCCCCTCTCCAAGTCATTGGTTCTACCACAGCCAAGCAATAGCACTATGAGGGGAAAAAATTAAAAAATCAATAATTCCCTGGTAGTTAGCAACACATTTTCTGTAAGTCTTTGAGCAGGATGTGCTGTGATAGGCTTATAATAAATATAGAACTGTGTCAGATTTTCATAGAATTAGATATCAGCTCTCCATTTTCCATCTTGATTTTTTACTAGTCTTAAAAAGATCAACTGCCGCTCTCGATCTATAAATTCTATACTGAAAAATATTATAGCACGCCCTAATAGCTTGAGCAAATTATCAGAAAGCTACCTTTGACTCCTGGCAGTTTGGTTTGATGTTGCTAGGCTCTCTGTAGCCTATACACTAGAAATAATTTCTGCTGTATTACTGCTCTACCCAAAAGTAGCCCTTTGCTGTACTGATGCAGCTCCAGTTTAGTAGCCTTCGTGCGGAGCGGTGCTACTTTAATGCCAAGTGTGCCCTAAAACCGCGCAGAGCTGTCTCTTTGGATTTTAAATCTGACTGTGAAGTGGTTCAGGTGATTTTGGTGAAAAGGGGGGGAAAAAAACCTGAATGAAAATAGGAAGCAAAGGAATCATACAAACAAAGGTTAAGAGGAAAACCCTAATTCCAGGAAGTTCTCTTTCAAATAGGAGCAGATGGGGGACCCATCTGGCCAGGCAGAAATGTGCCAGGTTGTGCATACTGAGAACAAGTCCATGCTCCAAGATCCACCTCCAGCCATGAGCAGTCTTGATACTAGGCTGGTAATCCAGTAATTAATTAGGAGGGATATGTTTCAAGAGGGAGGCTTGAAAGAAGAATTAGGAAGGTGGTGGACACTCCGGCTGCAGCACAGTCGGCACAATGTCTGCATGTGGTGATTTGTGCCATGAGCAGAAGCATCGGTCCTTTGGTCATTTTACTCATGTGTCTCTCATGGGAGCTTCAGGTAGAAAAAGTTGTTTTGGCTGGAAACGTCTGAAAATGGATAGCTCTTATTTTGCACAGAGAAAACTTCTAATCCGCAAAACTGCAAATAAAGTCACTACATCTGAAGATTAAAACTTGTGTTCTTGCCAGGTTTTGCCCTCATCTGTCAAATGACTAGGCTAAAGTAAACTTGAAATAGATTTTCATTTATTTTTCATCTTCATTGTAATCCAAAGACTGCCCTGTTAAAAGCCTTTCGTAAATCATTTGGTCAGTTTTTCTCAACAAAACACTCCTTAAGTAATGCTGTATATCAGCCTCTTTTTTGACATTTTCATTTTTTCATCTTGACATCTTCTCTTAAAAATAATACAGTGTTTGTCCTATTATCTCTTTTCAAACTGTGAGGAGGAGGGAAGAAGGCATCAACTCTCTCCCCATCATAGCAATTGGAGTATGCGAATCAAAGATGCACACATTAGTCTGTGGTTTTCTCTCCAAATTTTTCTTTCAATCTTACTGCCCGGTGTTAAGAAAAGAGGTGTGGCAAAAAACTCGGATTTCTACAACAAAACTGGCTACTAGAAATCACATTGCCTTTTCTCCAAGGTGCACGTTCTCTAGCAAATTCCTTCCCAAACGCAACAGGGATTTAACTCTAATCTGACTGACATGAAAAAGTGCCTCTGCTACTATCCACCACGTCATTCCTGTTTGGCCTTTATAGGCCAAGAAAAAGTCAATGAGATGATTCTACAAATGAAACAAGTGAAAAAATACACTTCACCACTAAAGCGGATGAACTAGTTTTTCTTGCTAGTACTGTGGGTAAAAGCTAGCTTTTTTGTAGAGGTGCATGCAGTTATTTCTTTAATTAGAGTGGCAGAAGGTCTTTCTTAGTTGTCCATGATTTCCTGTGATACAGTGTGGTCTTCTGTACAAATGTGTTTTAATAGTTAATTTTAATTGACTGTTAGAGAGGAATTAGGTGATTTATCAGAAGTAAGAATTCCCTGCTAAAGCAGCGTGTGCCTCTGCAGAGAGATGCAAAGCTAGCACGGGTGGGTATGGCAGGGTCTGTGCTGGCGCGTCCGCGTGTCGCTGGTACTGAGTGACTGTACAGATGTAGTCGCTGAGGCATTCTTCACCACAGCATTAAATACAACGTCAGTGCAAGTAATGTGTCAACTAGTATTCAGCAGAACCATGTAATCAGTTGCTGTAGACTAATACATTGCTTTTATCTGCAGTGAATGCTGTCAATCAGTACAGCTGATGATCCAGCCCCAATATACTTACAGATGAACCTGACAAATCCTGTACGATTACGCTGAACCTCAACTTCCTTCTTTCTCCTTGTTTCATCTATATGGCAGGTAGCTTATCTGCTGTGTAGCACTAGTCTTACATCTGTCTGAGTCTGCCAGGCTCCTTTCTGTGATCCCAAGGGCTGGTTTAAGAGTTCAACTCTAGTAGAGGCAGTCAAATTCCTGAACCCTACGGTAGCCAGGAATCAACCTCATCCCATTTTCCTGCTGTTTGCATGTGCGACTGTGTTGTGGTTTTATTTAAGTTTTATCTGAGGACCTCATGGTGGTACGTTTGCTTGCAGCCAACTTTGTATTCTAAACCACTTTTCCCGGCGCTCTTGTAGGGAACTAAGAGGGACGTGTCTTGGATACACAAAAGCTCGCGGGCTTCCTTGCGCTATGTGAGAGTTTACCAAAG